CCTTTTTTAAAACAGTTATGGCAACTGTCTCAACCCATCTGGTTAAGGCCAAGCATGACCTTAAGTTCGGAGCTTATAGCTCACCTTGCTGCGTGGCACGATGCTAGTCAACCTCTCTAAGCCTTACGCTTGGTTACCAGTAAAAAGAGAGTTTATTTGAAAATAGCATGATGAGACAGTGGTGCTATCAGCTCTACTTGCTTACATAATGTAGGTGAAAATGATTTTGAAATGGTTAGATGCTATAGAGACACTGGTCACGGTGTTTATTGTGGATATTGGTCTATCAGTGTCGGTTTCATTAGAGGTTCCACAGGCAGCTCGAGGTGCTATTACAGGTAAGTGCTAGACCACTTTTATTCATGTTATATGCCCGTAAGTCCTAGCGCTGACAGACAAGCATCTGCTGTGTCGCTATTACGTTATTTTGCCTCTTACCTTTGCCAACATGATTCTTGTCTTTGCCACATCCAAAGGCGTGGTCACTGCAGCTGCAAATCCACCTGTGCATATGAGAATACCCAGCACGCAAGTGAGACACCATTTACTGTGCATGGTAATTTTATCATTTGCATTTTATCATTCCTTATAACTTCGCCAAAATCTCTTCTTTGTCATTATGTCTACTTGACTGGTTCGAGAACGGGATGCACACCCACAGTCTTTATCCACACGCTTCATTGCTTCTGCAGGTGCAGAACTGCATATAAAAGAAATATAAGAAAATGCTTTTCCCACTCAGGTGAAAGAAAATAAGGCCCCACAACACACGTATCTTGCTCTTTCATGGACTAGCAAACCAATCTGGGTGTGCATGTAAGTGTACGTACATGACGTGTGTGTGTGGCCAGACACCCACTCTCAACATGAGAGGCAGCCGCTCCAGATGCTTCTGCGGCCCATGCCTTTCTCTGGGCCACTGTTCCTTAAACACTTCCATCGTGTCTGCTCTATGTATAGCAAAACGGATGGAGTCACATGTATTGCTCTAGGAATTTTTGGTATAAATGGTTGGATTGTTCGGGTTAAGAGTAAAGCTCTCTGTATTTCACAGGCTCTGATTAGAGACGCCGGTGGCAGTGCCTGTATTTGTCACCTCTCTTCATCTGTTTAGAGTCAGTCTTGTGTCAACAGGCATCACACCTTACAGCTTCCTTCCCACCTCCTCTCATGTTCTCATCATCTAAATACCATGATGGCCAAACTGCCCACAGATTTTATAAGGGTTTGTACCTGTGAAAAGAGGAATTAAAGGACTTTTGCTTGTGAGCATAAACCACAGTTGATGGTGTCAATATTTTATTTACTACGGTACAAAGATATATTTTAAACCCCAAGAGGCCCTAAGGAGATAGAAATAATAAATCCTAAAGGGCTTTCAAAAGGTTCAGCTTCCATGAGCTGGGGGGAAGAGGCAGTTCTGCAAGGGCTGGAACACACGGGTGTGAGGGATGCTCCAGAAATAGCACTACTCTCCTCCTCGCTCCTGTGGCGTGTGGACAGGAAGGTCATTTGATATCTGCCAGATCTCCTTCTAAATATGTTCCCGAGATAAGATTATTACACGGAACTTCCTCCATATGTTAACATTTGTTACGACACTGACTTTCTGGAAAGTATACCTACTTACGCTATTTCACGTTTCAGTTTTGGTTACTCATGAGTGTCACATACCTTAGGGCTAAGGGGGTAGCAACTGACATGACCATTAGAATCCCCTTTGTTTTAGCTACTTTGGGATCATGAATACGTAAAATGCTTTGTTCCAAATTCAGAGACTTGCTAAATTTGAGGTCTTTTAAAATTTGGTGGGCTTAGTCCTGAAATTCTACTCTTTCATTTTTTTTTTAGCCACATATTCTGCCCTAGAAGAGTAAATATACCTTTAATTATAGAATAGGGTCCAGGAAAGCTTTGCACCCCTTTAAAAAATTATATTAAAAATGTATCTCCTAAGAAAGGAAGAAAAGGGAAAAAACTTACACTATCCCAAACTTACACTATCCCAAACTCCCCGCCCCAAATATTACATTGGGTTTTGTCTCCCTTATTAGCAGCAAAGTCTAGCCTGAAAGAACCCTTTTTTGTTGTCAGAAAGACCAAGGCTTAAATCTTTCCTCGCCAGCTGACTGGCCTTAGGTGATTACTTACTGTCTAGTTAAAGCGCCGTATGACACAGGTCCTCTTACTGCCCCACACTACAGGTGGGGAAACTGAAGTTTATGGAAGCTAAATAACTTGTAGAGGGTTTTACTTAGTGCACAGCTGAGACTTGATCTTAAGTCTGTCTTGACTCCAGACTTGGCCATGGTCTTCTAGTGCCCTCACTTTTCCCATGTGTAAGATGCAGGTAGTAATGACACAAAGATTAAGTAAGTCTATGCAAAGTGTTTAGAATCATGCCTTGGTCACAGCAGTGCTCAAAGTAATTAGCTCTTTTCTGAGTGGGCAGAGCTAATGTGTGACTTTTCTTCATATCTCTAGCCCAGCACACACAGCAGGCACTCAAAAATGTTTAATAAGTATCCTAGCCAGGTGTCGATAGTTGATAGTTTCTACAAACTGAAACTTTCAACTCATCCTCTAAAAGGGAGAGGGTAAGATGAAGGTAGAAGCCAGTATTTGCAGAGTGCTTACTTCGTATCTGGCATGCCAGAAATGCAGTAGGCACTTTCACTGATTACTTTATCTCATTTGCATAGGTATTATACTATGCCATCTTGCAATCAGCTTGCCCAGGGCCACACAGCTGCTATGGAGCTGGAACTCAAAGTCACATGTATCTTGACTCCAAAAGTAGTACACCTTCTGCTACATCATGCCTTTAATATAAGACAAAATTTGTCCAACTGTTACAGCTCATTTTCCCATTTGAAAATGTTCACAAACTGTCCTAAACCAATTAAGAAGTCCTGAAAAGTTGACAAGGAACATCTAATAAACTTGCTTACTTCAAATCAAACTTATTTTGGCCATTAAGCAAATGTTTACCATTCCTTTGCTGTGGATGACTGCCAATATTCTCTTAGAGATTTGTGTTTCGTGAAGGTAATACGAAGTTATAGGCGGAAACACGTGTGCTTAAACAGGTCATAATTTTACTACCATCATGGAAACTGTATTTTATATAAGTTACTAATAAATCAATATGCATGTCTTCAAATATCAAAGATTTCTTTAACTGTCAGACCTCACAATGTTTTTATAAGGCTGCAGAAGAAGATAAGGCTGTGAAGACAATATAATGGAATCACCAGTCCATTGGGGAGGGGGTTGGGCGCCAGGACTTTCAGTTAAAATATTACTATTTGCGACCTTTTACTTAAGGGAACTGTAAGCTTCTGGTAATAAACACCAGTAGCATGGTGCATGCTAACATATCAGACAGACAGGAAATAATTATTTGGTACTGCTTCAGTGTTCAGATCACTTGGGAAACAATAGTCTGTGTCTCCACTGGAGTTAGGTTTGTACTGCATGGTAGGCTAACTGCTTTCAAGGCCCAGATGCAGGGGAAACTAGACTTTTGTGATGAAACTACATCTCGTATTTCCTTAGAGAACAAATGCAGATTCTTTATCCACTGGTAGGCAAAGTGGCCACCTTCCTACAGTAGGGCTGGAGCTGTCACCTCCACGCAGCAGCTGAGAATGGGGTGGGGGCAGCCGTGAGGAAGTCCCACACCCGCCCCCCCCTGGGGACCTTGGTGGCCACATCCAGGCTCTACTCTCCCCTGATCGGGGGAACCTGCAGCCTCGAGGCCATGTGTGACCCTCCAGATCCCTGACTGTGGCCCCTCAACCGAATCCAAACTTCACAGAACAAATCCCTTTATTTAAAAAATGATTTGTTCTGTAAAATTTGGATTCAGTCAATAGGCCACACTCAAGGATCCAGAAGGTGACATGTGGCCCCAAGGCCTCAGGTCACCCCACCCCTGTAACAAGAGCATGCCTTCATGTACCTCTTACACATGATCTCCAAACAAGTGTCTAGCTGTGGAAGACTTCCAGAACAACAAAGGCCATGAACATGCTTTTGTTTGTATTTTAGAGATTGTGTCAGGCCTTCTCATTTGTTAACCAAATAATCCCTCACCCTAATTCTAGAATTTCAAGCCCATGGGGAGATCGCAATCTCTCCCTTTCTTCCTCTTTCTCTCCCTTCCCTCCATCTCTCCCTCCCCCGCAATCCCCTCCTCCTCTCCCAGACAATGTAAGGAGGTGTTTATCATGAGAAATTGATCAAAAAATACTAGAATACAAACATCACTATAGTAGCAAATGTCAGAATTATTCAGACTGCATTATGGGCTTTTGTTTAGAAATTAACTTGGAGTGAGGAAGTTGACAAAGTCCTTTTTTTTTTCCCCTAGTTTAACCCCTGACCAGAAGCCAAGGGAATTTCTGAGCATGACGAGCCATCAACACCTCCAGTCTAGAGAGACATTTTTGAGTATCTGTGCCAAGTAGTTTATAGAACAAGCATGGGCAAGGAAGAGTGCGGAGGATGGCACGCAGAATGATTTATTTGCAATGGTTTTAGCCTATTTAAACTTGGAAAAGCACTGGGGGATGAGAAATCTGGTTTCTGATTCGGAGGCTGGTGCCGTCACCGCCCGCAGGGCCGTGTTAGGGTAAAGTGTCTGCGGAGCAGCAGGGAGCGTCGTAAAGGGGCTGTGCAGGATGGCAAGTCCTCGCTCATCTCTGTGCCGAGCGGGCCGCGATGTCGCAACAAACTCTTACAGAACATGGCTTTTTCACAATCCGGAACATTTTCAAGTGATGTTTATCCTTCAGAAATGTTTTAAAATATTAATAGTAACCTTGTTCCTGTGGATCAACATTTATACCACATAAAATTTCAAAACAAAACTAGACAGAAATAAGAAATGTATTTATCTTTTGCTAAATACATGTGCATCTACTGACAACAGACTTTCTTGCAGGCCTTGGACAAAGTCCTTCACTTATCAGAACCTCAGCTGAAAAAATAAGATGCTTATATTGGAGGAATTTTAAAATATACAAGCTATTAGATAAGAGTATTCTTTATAGTAACATTAACATTTATTAAATAATATTAAACACTGCTAAAGTTAATTTGTTAATGTCATTTATTAATGACATTGTTCCTTCACTCAATAGAGAAGATAAATTATTGTGAGACTAGCTTTTCATTTCCTGGGTGTTGGCTGTTCTTGTTGAAATGGCAATAACTCCTACATCTGTTCCGTTTTACAGATGACAAATCAGGAGCACACCTGCTGTCTCAATCACTGAGGTTAATTAAGCTAGGAATGGTCGCTTCCACATTAGAGGTAAGGAAACCGGTGCTCGGGAAGGCTCCAAGTCTTATTCCTGACTTGGGGACAGAACAGACGTGACAGCCTTGCAAGTCAGACAGCCTGCGCTAGACGTGTGGCTCTGGGCACCCCACCTCCCGGTGTCCGCAGTTGTCACTAGAGCACCGGCTGTGCTGCTACACCCCTCCTGTGACCCAC